GGGAGAGGGAGAATGTCTGGTGCGTTTGAGTGTGTGTGTGCGTGTGTGTGTGTTTGTGTGCAAAATCAAAAGACAACAGTGATTTAAATCTGAACTGCTATTGACACCACTATAGTACTTGGAGGACGAACCAAACTTCAAGACTAAGCCGACTATGAAGAAGTTGGAACTATTTCTGGTCACACAGAGCAAGAAAGCAGCGTTCCAACATTTTGCGTGAGTTGTATTTGGATCCTCTTCTGATGTACAAATGTACGTGAATACCTGTCAGTTACATTATTTTCATCATTAAAATTTTCTTTTCCTTCTTTCTTTTCTGATATTGCTTTTCTTCCACCATACACCGTCCATGAAATTGAAATCTTTTAAGAAACGCTTGTATTTGATCGTTTTTTATGATTTTCAAACACATTTGCGTTGATGTTATTTTCCCACAACCAAAGAAACATAATATGGGCTCCTGCGTTACAATAACAATTACTGTAGAAATATAATTAGATCCGAGCAATACATTATGTACAAATGTGAATATGTTATTGATGGTGACAGAAAGTTTTCATACATGTACATTTGTCAGCTGACAAAAATTTGATATGTTTTTGTTCCGAATTTTTAACATATATTTTAACAAAGATCATTTGCTATATTTTACAAATATAACAAATTGACGCAAAACTAGATAACACAACTGAAATACATCTTGTCATTGTTTTAACGATGAAACTAGTTTTTTTCAGTTTCTAGTTCATGCTGTCAATTCAGCTATATTACGTTCATATTTAATCAAATGTTCAAAATAAAGTTAAATTGTTTATATGTAGAATATTACTTATTTAGATGCTGAATTATGAATATTTTCCTCTAAAGTGCCGGTACAACTGAGTGTTGCGTTTGTCGGAACGAGTTGAGCCAGCCAGTCATCCTCCCGTGCAGACATGTGTGTGACCAGGGCTGCCTGACGGACTGGTTAAACACTGGCAGAAGAATGTGCCCACATTGCAGACAGCCTGTGTCGGAAGACTTCCACCTTACAGTGTCTTTCGAATCAAAGTATGTTTACTGCCATGAAACGTATACGCTAAACACTCAGAACCTCAAGTCTAATGCAATGGGTTTGCACCCTACATCAAATAGCATGACGTCTCTGGAATTTAACTTAGTGTTTTTGTCGTCATGCATGGGGTATTGCTAGAAATACTTACATTAAGAGATCCATCGTCTCCAGAGACAAAGATACCTACAACTTACATTAGAATTGTGACAGTGAGAATTGTCACTCCCGGGAGGGAAGTATAGTTTGGGGTGCAGCTCATTAATGCGAGGTTTGTATGTTTGGGTTCCAACGTGAGTAGAGGGAAATTGGGTCATTTTAACCATTGCCTTAGCCCTGGTGTAATGTACGAGTATGAAACATAATCCATGGTGAAATAGGGGGTAATTTGCATCATACAACCGTATGGGTGGTAATCTATTTTCTTTTTGTAATTCGTTACTTACTTCATGTAATTCATTAAGGCAAACTATATTTGCTTTAATATTATTTTATTTGTGGAAGTGTGAAATATCTGATTTCTTGTTTTGAAGGCAAGCACTACGGAAACACAAAGATTTCAGACGTCGAAGCAACGCGTTTTTCATGGATGTTGTGTCGATGTTCTGCTTTGCTGATGACACACCGCCACATCAGGATGTCATTGACATGCTTCTCGGATACATCGTGAGAGAGGTGGCTGAAACCCGGGCCAGAACGAAGGGCTTCTCTCCGTTTGAGGAAGACGGTGTCGACCGAACGCCGATTATTCGGTCTTTCCTTCTGCAACTGCTGCTTCGCTACAAGTACGACATTTTTTTTGTAATGGATGTCAAATACCTTCTTTTGATAGAGTTAGTTAATTATAAAGTGGTTTATAATCTCTAACATGAAATCTGCTAGTTTTAGATGCGTTTGCATGTCTTCATTTGAAATGCCGCTTGTATGTCTATCTAGGATTCGTGACGTGTGTGCACATTTGGAGAAATACTTTGAAGGCGCTCGAGGTTTCGCTGAAACCATGGAAGATGCTTTTGAAGTCTGCGTCATTGTTGTGCAGTGCATGGAGGTATTGTGTTGCGCATTACTTACACTGCTCAAAACTTACATCGCACAGACTCATTCATTGTTTACGGACAAGTCCCTGATCATGTTATCTATTGTGGATTCTTAGTTTCTCTACTAAAGATATAAGTTGAAAATATGTGTGAAGCCCATTTTACCTTCATTCGTTTTATGGTATTTAAGCTAGTCAGAATATGTTAGCTTTGACTTTTTATCAATGCATTATTTACACTTATCGAAATCTTTAATTACCTGTCCAATTAATGTTTTGCCACAGAACGCCTTGACCAGTAAAGTAGACCGTCAGCCTGAACGACAAGTTCATCTCATGGAACTGGCTGCCAGTGAACTGGAAGGGGCTGCAAAACGTTGCAAGGAGTTTCCAAACATACCTCTAATGCTACAGTTAAATATGATAGCCTCCATCCGATTCGGCCTTTCTACTGCATGTGACGTGATGTACCGTCAGGTCAATCAGAAAATGGGCCCTGTCAATGACCACAGCCGACGATCTCTTCGGAAGTTGCTCGAGAGTGTTCAAACACTCTTCAGAGAGTTTAAAGCAGTGACAAGATGGCCGATGCTGTTTATTCCGAAGTATCTGTACAGACGACACGGCCTGGACACACTGATGTCTATAGGCCAGTCTCCAGAATGGCAATGGTTTTTGCCAGATGAGATGCGTGGCTATCAGGTGAGGCACAAGTGCAAGCCGGTGTCTTATTCAAGCGTTCTTATTTATATGATCGCCACTAGCTGTCGAACATAGGCGACCAAGGCCTCCCGACCTTTTCCAGATAGTCTCCCGTTATAGTTTGTCTGGTAGGAGTTGGTCGCCGAAGCTGGCTATGAGTCTTTGGAACTTGTATGTGTCAGCTGACTATAAATTTTGAAAAAAAAAAACATGGTCGGGAAAGTAATATTCAGCCTGGATAATAACAGAGTAGTGAACCGAGGCTAGAACAGGATATACTCCCGGCTACTCCCAACCATCGCTGTCATAGGTCGGTCGGAACAAAGACGAGCGAAGATACTGGATGTGTGACGGGACTTAAGGGGATCTCAGTGAGTGGTTGTGGTGTTTTACGAAAGAAACTAAACGCTGTTCTCGCTGTTTCATTTTATTCAGGATGACGTCGTCCCGGACCGCTTTGTTGTCTGTGGAGAAACATATTGCCGTATAAGAGAGGCAGCAGCAGAGACCATCCTCACTCACGACATCAATCATCTCTGCAAAGTGCTACAGGTCTGCATTTTTGTTTCTATATCTTTGATTTGATAGCATTGCTGTATAGTCACATGTAATACCAAATACTTCTTAGGAATAGGATGTCTAGACAAATCCTTTAATTGGGTGGAATTGTGTGCGTTTCATTGTGTGCCCGATTGGTATTTCATTGTAGTAATTAATATTCAGAGGGGGAGAGGTGTTGATCGGTGGTTAGTCGACCGGTGTCCGTACAGTTCATGTACAGGAGAGAATTATCTAACTATAAACTACAAAAGGTCAGACACAGGACGTTAGGTCGAGTCAGCCGCTAAGGTGACCCTGGTGGCTGTTGGCAGGCTGTCCGTGTGGATGCACCTAAGTAGCAAAATTCATAATGAATGAAACAAGAAATTCACAAAAAGTAGAAATATCTCATGGCTGTATAGATTCATTGATTTCCTGTTGAAATGTGTGTGTTTGTCATCTCCAGGATCCCGATGTTCCACAACAAGACAAAGAAGTGCTGACTCTTCTCGCCATTTTCACAGAGGTCACTTTGGCGAGGGTCTCAACAGAGCAGAATGCAAATGTCATTTCTCAGGTACAACACTGGATGTTCTTTTATTATTACACACGGAAAAGAAATAAAACCCAACAATAACTACAAATGTATATCTAAAGTAGCATTACTTATAACCATTTTACCCTTTTATTGTTGTTATCATGTTCTTGCAATTAGCCCTCGGGCATGAATTTGCAATAAACTTCCTTTTTTATTTCCCGTATTCCCAGATTTCTTGTTGTTCGTTGTACCACGATATCCTTGATTTGATTTTTAGTTGAGAATCGGGATAACCATCCTATGTTTCATCCTAAACAATTTTCCATCCAGATCCAACAGATGTTTGTCCAGTTTTCACACTCTACAGATTTCATCAGGAACAAGGTGCCTTTTAAAGCTACAAATCATAGTGTGTGGTTTAAAGAACGAGGAAAGTATGTAAAATTAATCACATTCATCTGTTTTTGTTTAGGCCATGTTGATTTGATTGTATGGATGACATCCGCGCGCGCATGAATTTTCGGCCGTTTCCAAAAAAAAAAAGTTTTCAACCATACTGTAAATCGTACAAAACAGTTGCAAAATGAGCAAAAATATACCGTAAGTTACAAAAAAAAATTAATAAAAACTATACCAATGTCGCAGAATGCCGAAATCAAACGAAAAAAGACGAAATTGTAAAGAAATGAACTTGAAGACTAGATTATTCGCCAAACCATATTCTGTGCCATTTGCTCAACCCTCATGACCACGTAGATTTCATAATGAAAAGAACTTTTTTTTTTGCAAAACTTTTTTTTAATCGCACGCGCGCATCAGTTTTGGGGCTCCCGGAGGATGTCATCCATATAATCAAATCAACATGGCCTTACCACGTCACATCTTTGTTCCAACTTACAAGCTATTTAACTACATATACATGCTTAGTCCATTGCGGGTTGTTGCATATGACATGTATCTGAACAAACGATATTCAAATGCTTAGAACTATATCTGGATATCCGATGTAACCGCCGTTCAGCGTAACACACCAGATTCACAGGCACGCGGTGAGGCAGCAGCTAGCTCTTTTACACAGAACGACCTGTTGCACCCAGGCTTTGAAGCATTGTTTAAAGATGTTTGAAGCATTGTTTAAAGATTTGGTGGTAGCGAGTTCCACCCTAAGATCATTTTAGTGGCACTTCGTACCTTTTAACCCTTTTTTTTCTGTTATCTATTTTACAATCACTTAGTAATACTTTTTTCTTTGCAGGAACTCGCTGAGAGATTGATTTTGAACAATAACGGTGGGCATTGCACAAGGCTATCGTTCAGACCAAATCAACGCCCACGAGAGCGAAGTATGTCAGCACTGATCATGCACATGGGCGCTGTTCTGGCTACAACTCCATCGAATCCTCTGTTGGAACCTCTGAAAGCCCTTGTTATTGCTCCCCATACGATGGTGGTATGCACACGATGTTCTTCTTCTATAGGTTTTAAACAACTTCTCTAGTTACCTCCATAAAAATGGAGGTTTTGTTTTAGGACCTTCTGTGTGTGCATGTGTTTCCGCACATTTGTAGTCATTATAACTTCAGAACGCCTTCATAGATTGTGATGGTATGTTGGTAGGTCGTAGGAAGACAAAGGTCAAGGTCAAATATAGGCGTCTTGGCGGCTGAAATTGCAAAACGTCCGGTTTTTGAATCTTTTGTCCTGAACCTACTCTGGTCTTGTCCTAATTTCCATAATCAATGAGACAATTAGCCTCCCAAAAAAACATTTACAAAAACTCTATACATATTTCACGGAGGTAAAAACTTCGTAGCTCAGGTAAGGTTCAAGATCAACATTAGGCAAAAAGGACGGCAAAGTTTGATCAGAAATGAAATGACCTGAAATTAATGAAATGCTTTGAAAAAAATATATTTCAAGAAGAGACATATGTCACATTAGGTGATATCTTGTTAAAACTATGCATTACGTTGAGTGCCATACGTCTAGATCTCTACGGCCGAAAAATAGAGAACTGGATATACACTTGTTAGTCATTACCACCCAAATCCTTAGGCATTATCTGGCTTGACATATCTTTTATAAGATGGTTAATATCTTCTCCCATGTTACGGACAGGCACACTACCTACCGACGATGCCTGATGACCCCTTACCAGAACTGAAGAAGGCCTTAGCAAACCAAGAAGTCGGCTGGTATCGTAAGTATATGACTACACTATCATACCCGGTACTCGGATTGTGTGCAAAGATAGGATTAGCTTTTAAATTTGTCGCTCTACACAAAAAATGAAAGTAATATTGCTGAGATCACAGGATTAATCTCTGAGTGTATTTACAGTAAGGTTAAACGACAGAGCTGTACATTCACTACTGTATTGTTTCGTTTTTTTTTCCAGAGTGCCCTAATGATCATCATTACATCATCGGAGACGTACGTATATATATATCAACAATTATCCCTTTTGTACGTATTGGAAATATTCTTAGTTTTGTTCTTCCCTATGTTGCCCGGTACCCAGATTGCTTACATGCCCATTTATTTCTTGCACGACGAATGCTTTATTTACTATCTTTGGCATCCCCTTTAGTGTACAAGACCTGCTGTTGTGGGGAAATGTCATTGCGGTGCAGGTATTGGAGGTACCGGGCATACACTCCTGACTGGAAATCGTCCTGGAAGACAGTACGTACAGTTTATGCCTCATTCACGTTTCATATGGTGAAACCAAAGTGACAGCCTCTACACAAGAATCACCTGCCAATTTTGATAACGTTTCGGTGGTCTCCTAGATATTTTTGCTAAGTCATTATCGACTTTTTCTGTATATAGCTGCACATAGAACATATTTTGTAGGTCCTACAAGTGGTATTCTTGGGCAGAATTGGCTGTAAATTTTGTACCTTTAGCCACCTAGAGTAGATTTGTGTGACTGGATGTTTCATTGATACCAAACTGATAATGATATCCAGGTGTACGTGTAGAAGCAACTGAAAACGAAATAATTCAGTACAAATACAGTAATTATGTCATATGAGATATACTATGTCTTTTTGTCAACAGAGATGATGCTACTTCTACTGGGCACATCATGGGCGATGCTCTAGACAGACCAGTCGACCCCATCCCGGAGAGACAACTGTCTACATTCTCAACCGTCATTATCCGCCTCGTCCTACACGCAGCCATGCTTTGTGGTGCAAATAAAAACTTACAGGTGACGTTCTCTACGATGATTTCCAATGAAAAAAAATGATTTTTTTTACAAATTATTAAATTTATTGATAAGATAAAGACAAAGTGAACACTCAAGTTGTACAACCTACATGTATTTCAAGAGCGCCATTTGAAAAAGATGACTTATTGATGAAAACTTGAGTTCAGTACACCATCTAAGACGGCGACATTTTTACAAGCATAGACGGTATCCTTGTCTACAGATACAATGTTACTTGAATTTGGTGTTGTATTATCAACTTGTCACTTATAAACTTATAAGTAGTATTGCGAGTAGCCTATTTTCGTATAGAAAATATATGTACTTCTACATTGACATGTATTTGTGTGACCAAGTCTCTTTCTTCCGATATAAAGCCGTTTACCAACTTTGTTCGGCCGTTACCGACTGACATCCCTGACTTCCTCTGGCGCCATCTCAACCGTGACCTTGATGACCTCGCAAGTGTCCTTGGCCGCAGCATTGATGACGCAACATTGCTGGTGCACATTTTGCTGACTATGGTGTCTCAACACGGCAATAAAAGTGGAATGAGTACGAGAATTTTTCTTTTCCTAGTAGATAATACTTCCGGGATGTCTAAAGGGTTCCGTGAATTTATTGAAACATCCGATTATGTATTCTATCGGGACTAGGGTGATAGCTGCGAGGGGTTAGAGGTTCGCCCATGAAATACTCGGCTTTCTTCATTCCTGTCATGTCGACATATAATTCTTGGTGGCTCCTGACCTGATTATGTGACCTTAAAGTTCACCACATTTCGTGTGGCTTACAGTTTTTCTGTCATTTTGCCTGGTTAACCTTCCCTAACTCGCGTGATCTCAACCTCATCTGTCCAGGAAAGTATACACATAACCCCACAGAACAAAAAGCACCCGAAACATTACATTCGGCGCTTCATATCGTTTTGCATTCCCTGTCTGATTCCATTTACTTACTTCATTACTAGCTGGAGTCTGGAATGTTGCTTGGACATCAGTGCAGGGTCGCAAGAATTGGGAGGGTGCCTTCAACAATGTGTACATCAAGCCACTTCTGCAGGTGATTATTTATCATATCTATTATTTTTAGTTGAGTTATTATAACTATTCCATGTTCAGTTACATATTCAATTCCAGAATTACAAGTGTAATACAACAGGAGCCTATCCGAAACAAACGTTTAGCATGATAAAAAGAGATAAAATCGAACTGAACAAAATACTTTCTTTGCTAGATGTAATATTATCCCAATAACTAGCTGCCCTGTAAAGGAACCATGATATAATCCCTATGCTTGATATGTATTGCAAACTCTTCCTGTTATGTGATAAGCTGTGACTCTTCCTTCTGTGTATGGTATAGGATCTGGACAACAAACTTCAGGAGGCAAATCGACTTGTTGACGGGGACCGTCGCCTCACACCGTTTCACCGCGTTTTGCTTGACAGTACAACTCCTTCCGATCAACTGTCACTGGAAAACGTCATCGCGCTCCCAGAGATATGGCAATATCGACCCAGTGTGAGCTTGGAGCACATGTCTCGCTGTTTTGTTGAACATCAGGCCAAATTCCCCATGCTGAAGATGTTCTTGCACAATGTAAGGCTATTTTCGTCGGTAGCATTCGATAAAAGAATGAAAGGTCGAATGGAAGGTTTATTGTCCGAACAACCACATTGCAGCCAGAAGAATTAATTACGTATTTATTTTACAAATGATTACTAGCTGTTTGTATCACGATAAAAACAATAAAAAAAAATTATAAAACAGATCAGCCTAACTTTACAGTGTAGCCTCAACTTTTTCGCAACAGTTAACATGTTCATTTTGTTTTGCAAAAATGAGAATAACAGAAATGATCTGTATGCGTTTTACTCGATCACATGCAGTGGGTAATTTAGAAAATCTCGCTGTTCTAACATCGTTTTATTCTTGTTTTGATGGTATCCAACAAATGCTTCAGACTGATATAATGTCATTGTGACCGAAAATCTCTTTTCGTATTGTCTGTAGTTGACACCTTGAATCGAAGGTAGTACTCGTCACCGTAAGTCTGTACAAATTCCCTGACTGGTCTTTTTCTGTTCTCCCACATGTCAATCGTACAGGCCAGCATTCTGTCAGCCATGTGTCACTTACCGGACATCATCTATCTGATCAGCCTCCTGAGGACGAGATATCACCGCAACATCGACCTTACAGAAGCGCTTACAATGAAGATCGCAGAGTTTCTGAATGGCATGCCACATGGTAATGTCTTGAAGTTCAAAGTAATGTTTAAAACGTCTAAATGAAGCATATTTAAAGCCCATTCAAACGTTAGCGATCAGTTTATCATTGAAATTTAGGCTCATTAAGAAAACGATGCCTTATCCTTACAGGACAACAGAGACAAAAGTGTGGTAAACTGGTGAAACTCTTCAGTAGTACCTGGACCACTACCCGGCCACTGCTGCTTCAGCAAGGTACTACTCCACACACTTTCCATTTGATGTCTATATGTATATCTTTATTCATTACAGGTCCATTGGCATCAAATAATTTAGATACATTTAATATATGCAATCGTGTGCAGGTTGAATCAGACAACAATGAGCTAACACTGTTGATAGTTTAATTTGTTGATGTTAAACACACAATGTTATGTCTAAATTCCAGATAACATTCCTCGGCCTGAGAATATGGATCCATCCATAGATATTCAAACCACAAGTCTGTACCACCTACTGCCAATGAAGGAGGATGCAACCGTCACGTCCATTATGACAGCTGTTGTTCTTTTCCTTATAAGGAAGAACAACGAGTTCCTGGATATTTACCGGAGACACGCGGGTGTCCAGGATGAGTATGTTAATAGTTTCTTCATGGTGGTTCTTTGCATAAAAGTAATGTCTTTTAAATTGTTTTGTTTTTTTTTTGTGGTTGTTTTCTCTCGGGGTCGAGGTTTTATTTATTTATTTATTTATTTATTACACTTTCCAATGCAACAGCAAGTAGCATGGAGGAGAGACAAAACAGATGCATAATTGTACATCTGCCAGTTGTCTCTCCATATACAAAGTACATAATAAAACAGTAATGATACAAAATAGACAATTTGACTTAGAAATATTTTACGTGTTTAGAAATATTTACGGTCAAAAGTCAACATAAAGTTAGCATCACATTTTGAAACTTGAACTGACGGGTCCAACAGTATTCCAAGCACATGTCTTCCGGATCGATATTTGTAACTAATTTGTTCAACATTTATTTCTAGTGGCAACTTAAGGTCGTGGACTGATATCAGTGCTAGCAACGTTGTGTGCTGTGACTCCACGCGAGATCTCATGCCCTTGGTTCTCAGCCACTGCAACTACTCCCTAGCCATAGGGAAAGGGACTCAAGTTGGATACGACTTTGCGGCACTGGAAAAACAACTTATTGACCGCTTTTTGTGTGGAAAGTGCAAGATTGAGGAGCAGGTAGCCAAACAGTGTTCTTTCTACGACCTTAAAAGGTGGAAATGTAGTCTCGTGGTTTGGTTGTTGACATGGGCCATTGGTGTGCCCTTGCAAAAGGCACTTTGTAATGGTTTCATCATTTTCTCAGGTAAAAATGACTGAAGTGAGGGACGTCCTCTCCGATAGCCCAAGGGTCCGTGCTTCGAGACAAACATCTCTACCATGTTAAAATAGGAACATACTTATTGAAAAAGAGCAGGGTTCCTTCCCGGTGTGATAGGTTCAAATCTTACAGTCTTGTCCCAGGGTTGATATGTTAAAAAGGACACCTCTTATACCAATTCTTCTATAAATGTCTTAAAATCTTAAGAAGAAATTAAAAGTCTTTATTGTAGATATTTGATAATTTGATTGTGCAATGAGTCTTGGTCTTCTTTGAGCACAACAATTCCACATTTCTGGCTTTCTCTATTAAGAAATATTAAAATTTCCTGTTTTGATTCGATCTTTTCTGTGCAGTGTGAGACGTTCCAGTTCCGCCAGGAGGCCAGAGATGTCGCCATGTTCTCTGCAGTACGGAGGCAAATTCCACAGGTGATATAAAAAAATAATTCAAATTTAATCCTTTAGCTCTTTTTGGTGTCGTATATAGGGATGCATTCGTGTATGTCTATGAACCATGGTCAGATCATATGGTAGACATTGGCACACTTGTCATACGTAGCGACAACTAGTACGAACCATCTGTGTTTTCGTGAAAGCTTGCTACATTGTGCTCGAGAACTATGGATGATAGCCGCTGCATTTTACTTCAACGAACATACGAGGACGGGACAATCGGGTTGCTGATCATTTGCCCAGATGGTATCTCGAACTCTAGCTTTCACAACAGTTCCACCTGCTGACTTGAAACTACTTCAGCAGTACCGGCATTCCAGGAGGATATCATCTTGGTTTGCCCATACTAGGATATATTAATTCTGTTGTCGTCCTTCTTTTGTTTTTTAAGCGAAAACTGACCGAACACACATCTCCGTTCCCGCGACAGTGGTCAGTCTACAAACTATTAGGCAGTTCGTTTTGTGTTCCAGTTGGAATTGGAAACTACATCAGTTGACTTGAAATCTGATACATCTCATTCAGTTGTGACATTCTTGCCTTCTAGTGTGTATGTTCCAGTAGCAGAAAATTGTACAACACGTTGAGAAGAATATCTTATAGCAAGTATACAATTCGAAAACTGTTGAAGGATATAAGCCGGTTGTATGACTGATGCAATCCCTCGACGTGTGTTTATAAACCGCCTTCTTTCTCGGTTTCCTGACGCTGCTGCGCGACTTCGATGGACTTGAAGACGAGCTCGTGCCGGAACAGGAGTCGACGAAGTCCTTCAATTCGCGTTTAGAACCAGCCTTCTCTCTCGGTTTCCTGGTACAGCTTCGCGACTTTCTGTTGCCAGACTTCTCCCTGCCGTGATCTTGATGGCGGCGCTGGCCATGGCTGCGTGTGTAATCCGATCTCCTGTGAACGCTGCCGTCTGAACCCGAGGAAGAAGCACGCTTGCCTGGAAACACAGTCTTTCTCGAAACTCTGGGCGGAGAATGTAGCATTCCCTCGAGTATCTTATCCACCTCCCCAGCCAACTCCTTGTCAGCCCGCAGATCACGGACTTCGCGATGGCGGGAACCGGGCGGCCTGGTCAAGGACGGCTCTCTAGGCTTGGTCGAACGTTGTGGCGTCTCACGAAGGGGAGGTTCACTCTTGGCGCGATCCCCGTCTCTGGCGACTGTGTGGTCAGCGGGTGGTGGGTTACCGAGCGGTAGGGACCGTGAATGCTGAATCTG